CACACAGATACACACACACACTCTATTTCAGTACTTTCAGGTCCTGTTTTCGTTCTGATGAAACCAAACAAGATTTCTGGTTCCTGTTCTCAGAGTTCCTCCTTTAACATAAAATGTTTATGAGAAGCACTGATGATCATTGACAGTTTAAACCTGCATTCTTTGTACGACCGAAGCAGGGGGCAGCTCCACTCTGATAGTATTGGGGTTTTTTTTAAATATGAGACTTTGTACTTTGAAGAAATGGATTCAGCGTCCTCAATAACTAAAAACACTCCTGTACACAACAACATTGTCTGTATAGAGCTTATTAATGCAAATTATGCTAATTGTCCAACATGTGTTTTGCCCACTCAGTACATTTCCACCGCAGTATGTCGACCACGGCGGTGCATTGTGGTTTAATAAAAACACTGAAATTCCTCTTTAACCTCAGTTTTCACCATCAGATCCAAATTCAAAATAAGTAATACATTAATTATTGATCTGATAGGAACGAATGTGACCCTTGAAACCGAGGAGTCTCTCTGGACTACAGAAACCCTCTGGTGGTACAGTGGCGTTACAGAGCGGAGCCTCGTCCCTCACAGAGGATCTTTGATGAGTTCGGACACACAAACCGACAATTACATTGATTAGTAACAGCTGATCAGAGACAGTTGAGTTGTGATGATATTCACAGACTCAATAATAAAGAAATATATAATATTACATATTTATATATAATAATAACAGCAGCAGGCTGAAGTGCTGAGCTGAACTCCGGGACCGAACTGATCCATTATAACTCCGTCTCATAAATGTCACATTTAGACCTTTTCTTCAGAGTCAGCGCTAATCCACTGATGGTCATCTGTTTCCATGGTTACAGTGCAAACAGGAACTGTCAGCAGTTAAACACAGAGCAGATTTAACTTGATAAAAAAACACCATCCTGTCACCCAAAGCATGATGGGAACAGAAATCAGCACTTTGGTCCAGACTGAAAAATCTCAAAGCCTTTTCTGTGTCTCTTAAAGTCCAGACAGCAGCAGATAGCTCGCTACCACGAGGGTTCTCCCAGCACGCAGACCAACAGAGATTAATAAACAAGATGACTTCATTCCTTCATCAGCCGCTGCTGCTGAGAAAGTCCATGAAGGTTTGCTCCGGTTGTGTCGGCCTCCAGGTCCAGCTCACTACTGCCTTAATGAGTGTGATTACTGAATGAGCACCTACTGAGGTAACCAACTCACAAACCTCTCTCTCTGTCTCTCTCTCTCTCTGTCTCTCTTCTCTGTCTCTCTCTGTCTCTCTCTCTCTCTCTCTTACTCACTCTCACTCTCACTCTCTCTTGCAGGTGAGTGCAAACCACCTCCACCTCCACACACTGATAAAGTTCGTACAGCGATGATAAAGTTGTGTTTTCACTGTGTAAAATAAAGTTTTCTGTGCTCTTATGATCTACTGTGAGTATCTGTTGAACAGTTTGTGGTTTCGTTAAGCTCAATCTGTCCTCAATGAAAATCATCACATCCAGTTAAATAAAACACAATACAGCCGCTCAGCTTCACCTTCATCCTTTCAACTTATTTCCGAGGGTTCATTCGTGACTGTGGATGTAAACACGCTGTAGCACTGTGGTTGGATTTCACACTGCAGTCTATTTATAACTGCAGTGGTTGCTGCTGATCGACCGGCGTCCCCTCAGGGATCAATACACTTCCATTTACTCTCAGTTCAGCCGGAGCCGAGCAGAATTCTCTTTAATTTAACGCACCTCTCTGTTGTTAGAATGAGTCCGCTCTCCATCAGCTGCTCTTCATCGCGGCCTCTCTTCAAGCGATTTGTGGAACAGTGAAAACAAACTGGCCCGCAGGAGGAAATGAAGTCAGAGTTGTGAATGAGAGTCAGAAAGTGGGAAGAGGTTGAGACCACAGTGCAGCCCACGTCCACTTCCCTTAATGAACTCCAACTTCCCTTCAGAGCTTCAGTCAGGTGATCAGGTGTTTGATTTAAAGACTTCTTAAAGGGGAATTTCACATAAAGCTCTCTCACTGCTGCCCTGACTCTTGGTTTCTTGTTTATTTGCTCTGGTCCAGTTTCTCATTTTATTTTTTATTCTATTTTTATAAACTACTAATTATTCCTGGACTTATGACACAGTAACTTCCTGGAGTCACTGCTGTTTGTTGCTGATTAAAGCCAAGAAATAGGTGGACACATTTTGCCTCAGTCTTTAATGCTAAGCTAAGCTAACGGCTCCTGGCTGTAGCTTCCTATCCAGCGTACAGACACGATGAAAGAAATATGTTGATTTAAAGGAATATTCCGCAAGGTTTTCCTAGAAAACAACGTACAGACTCGTACAAATATAAACATAACTGTACCGCAATGAATGCAGCAGAACTTTTACTGTAAAAATTACAGCTCAGGTAAAATTATTTATCGTCGTCCAAAACAGCTTTCCATTTAATTTCACTGGGTTTGAATGTAAGAATGTAAACTTAAGGAATTACAGAAATAGATTATTATTATTAAAGTATTATTCACTCTGTTCCTACAGTCAGACAAACATTAAATAATTAGTAAACTAGGGGACTTTTTGAAGAATGTCTTTAACATTAGCTGTTCTTTAGCTGAGTGCTATCATCTTATTACTGTATCTTCAGTTTATTTGTTTATTACTGTATATGCAGCATGTCTTTAGGATTGACTGAAGCCAATAATGTCCTTTTAGTGATGTTGCCTTTAGGGGGCGCCACAGACGGGAGCACTCACAGGACACGAAGGCAGTTCCTGGTTAAACGAAGGCTGAATAAAACCCCAAAATACACGAATGACCCAGAAAGTGAGCGGCGCGTTCGTAGTATTTCCAGAGTGAATGTGAGTCCGGATGTTTCTGTCCTTCCTACCAACACAACCCATTCATCCAGGACAGAAATAACCTCTTCACCAGCAGCCGGGGAACCTCACTCAACAGGACGGCAGGAAATTCTTGTTTTTTTATTTTTTTTACCCAGCAGCCACCGGGGGGCCGGTCCATGTCCGACTGCCAGTGAGTACAAGAACAGACAGATAACTCAACAGATGACGGTCTGGTAGTCTGAGAGAAGATTATCTGCTGCTTCTGACAGTTTCCCTGTTTTAGATTTAATTTATCAATAATCTAGAAGAAGATATAAAAGTTCTCCGTACGAATCGGCAGCGAAAATGTGCTTATCTACGACTGTGCAGGTTATTTAACATTAAATCAGTTAAATATCATCCAACTGTAACTGTACAAAACTGTGAGCGTCTCACGCCGCTCTAATCTGTTAACTTTCAGTTATCAACCTCTCTGAAATGAAGTTGACTCATGGAGAGCTCGACTTCGGCTTTAACACATTTTGTCTGTTGATTAGATTTGATCATCCGGTTGCACACGCTGACTCTCTCCACAGGCGCTCTTTGTCGAGGTGTTTTTAAATCAGAGCCGCCTCCGTGTGATCGACTGAAGTATCACATTTTTGATACCAAATGACGAGACATTGTTCGATACTCAGTAACATCGAAGACAACTGGATGGAAGTCCGGTACTGAGCTCTAAAGGGAACCAATGAAACGCCTCACATCCGTCGTTCAAATGAACAAACAGATGTACATTGTTACAGGACAGTGTTTCATCCCTCACACAAACATGGAAATCTTTATTTCTACCATCAGACACGTAGGACGCCACCACATTACTGCCCAAAACACCAAACATCCATATCGACTCCGACACAGAAAGATAGGAAAGCATGAACAAGATTCTCCAAATATCACTTTAACCAAAGAAACAACGGATCGAGAACTAAAAAGAGCTGAGCTTCTCGCAGACTGAGTTTGAGTCAGAGATCAAAAGAGAACGACAGGAAATAGGAACAAATCTAGAGAAAGAGAGAGACAGGCTGTTATTTTCTTGGGTGTGTCAGTCAACCAAACCACCAACACAGTGACCGAATGTCTCACAACGGGAACATTTAAAGCATCCGGCTGCTGTTATTCTACATTCATGTTACTGTCAACAACATGTCTGTCTCTCAGTGCTGTCTGACTTCCTGTCTGTGGCTCATTGAGTGTTGTTTTATAGACTCATGTTTGAAAGCAGCTGCATTTGTTGGGAACTATTTTCAGCGGCAGATTAATCCACATTCGGAGTATTTGGGGCAGCAGGACGGCGTGTGAATAAACTACAGTGTGTGTTCGTTATACTGAAGGACCAGTGTGGATTACAAAAAACAGTTTTATTGGTCTCTCACCAGCGTCGGTTCCAGACAGGTCTGATCATTATGATTGGCTGAGCTTATTACAAACACTGGATTTTTAAAATCGGGACATGAAGAGTTTCAAGAAATATAAACACACTGCTTCTGATAAACATCGTACCTGAGCTTTAACAGTAACAAGATACAAATCTCACATAACTGATACCTCAACACGACGGTGACTCTGATATCTGTGTGTTCTGTAAGAAGCAGAAGGTGGTAAATAGAGTTCATGTATTCCACTCAGTGTGAAACCAGCGCTTGATCTATAATGGATGCTCAGTAGAAAACTTAAAACAGCAAACTTCCTCCAAACTGCAGAGAGGATCCTCTGCCTGCAGGGACTTTAATCCAGCAGAAAGCTCTGGACTCACTGAAAAACACAGGAAGGTTCATTACGGATTCTGTTTGAAGTGAAGCAGAGCGAAGCCTCCGAGCGGAGCCTGCTGAGTCACATCGACGAGTTTAAACCTGAACCCAGAAACACATCAGGAGCTCCTCCATCAGGAGGATCCACAGGTCAACCGGAGGATCGCAGGAGGTCCAAATATCAACGGACTGAAGGTCTGATCCCCTGAGCGAATCCTCCCTGAACACATCACTGATTAGTCTCCTTTAAAGTTATAACCTGTAACATTTCCTCATTAAACAGTGTTTAAACTCTACAAATCTGTCGTTTTATTCAGGTAACG